AGGAAAATTTGAGCCATCTCTGCAAAAACTGATATCGTAACAAATTCCAATTCCAATTCGACATAACGGAGTGTCAAAGAAGCTGAAATTATTCCCAGGGCTTAGCGTTTCCGATTCTTTAAATTTAATTTTCCCAGGTATTTCAATGTCGAACAAATGTACTTTCCTGTGTTTTGCAATCAAGTCTCCTTTTGGATCATATACGGTGCACGTGTTATATATTTTCCCGCCGTCATTTTCTGGGATCGATCCACCAATTAGGTAGATATTATTCTCCCTAGCCGCCCGAACGAGTGTCTCCGTTGACGGTCCCGGAATAGGTTCCGCATATTCCGGGAAATAGCTAGTCCCATAAGGGGAATTAAAGCACTCCGGTAAAGCAACAATATTGGCTCCTTTTGAAGCAGCTTCTTTGATTAAACGAGCTGCACGTGCGAGATTGTCTGATTTCGAAGCAGAAACAGCTAACTGTATTAAAGCAAGGCGAACTGACCCCGACATCTTCGTTCTAATTTTTATCACAAAATACTTGAAGTGGTGTCCCTTTAACAACTCCTCTCTTACTTCACTAGCCTTATTGTAGAAACGGCGACTGCCGACTGGAACCCAAATATAGCTGTATAAAGCGATAATGAACATTATAGGGTAGATAAAAAACGTACAAAAATATATATAAATCATTAAGAACCACTTTACACCTGCACAACTGCCAATCCATCCCGTTAGTAAATATATATGCAGAAATTGTACACCTCTAAATTTAAGCAGGTACGTATATTAATATACGTACCTGATTTAAGTAAGTAATGTGAGAGAAAGTTATAAATTAACACCATAAAATTATCAGGCACCATAAAATTATCAGGATGATCAGGATGCAAAATGAATTTTTTTAAATCAAAGATGAAGATAACAGAGACAAGCAGCTCCTATATTCTCCACTGACTATAAAATAGGCATGTTGTAGCTAGTTAAACTTAATGGATGGATGTACATGTATATAAATTTGTATTATTTGGTACTTTTATAGTATACCAAACATTTCATCTGTTAGTACATGTTAAAATATTGGTAGTTTTCTATGCCTTTAACGTAGCAAAACATACATACTGAGTCAGTTTTTCGTCATATACATTGTTAGGTAACAAAAGTTAATAAGAATATTTTTGTAGTTCAGTTAAAAAAAATGATGCATCATTTATTTAGATGGGAACTGTACATAAATGTTTTTACCACAGGAACTTGAAATTCTATCACTATTAATGATTATATGCAAAATATACCCCCTATATACTTATAGTGTTTTTTATAGTATATAGGGGGTATATTTGGATATTATAATTAATATTGGTTATTTGATAGAATTTCAAGTTCCTGTGGTTTTTACATGCAGCCAAAGACAAATGTATTTAGTTTTCAGAAAAATGTATTATTTTACTGTATTTTGTTATCTGGTTAACAAGTTTTACTTGCTACAAGTTTTAAGTTTAGAAAACACAAGTGATAACTTAACCCTTTCCCTCATGAGCATAATGTGAAAAATGGCCGTTTTCATTGAAAAGCCTCCGGTTACAAGTTCAAACTGCTATGAAACTATGAAAAATGCTTCAATACTAATCAAACTTGGCACATGACTTGACCATTGCCTTTGTAACGACATGCTCAGTCTTAAATTTCCTGTTACCATGGCAACGAGGGGACATCTCAAAATTGTCAAAAATCACTATTTTGCCTTGATTTTTTCCATCAAAATTTATTTCAAAGTGCTGCAACTTCTCAAGGGATTGAGATATAGAGTCAAAGGCTTTTTAGTGTTGGTTACGCGTTACCTTATGATCGACCTGGGATCATTTTTAGCATCTCACAAGTCAAAAATTTCCTTGGCGATGAAGGGGACTACCGCCCCCTTTCAAACCCCCCAAACGGATGTACATGTCACCCCCTGATGTACCTTTTGGATAGGGGCGGCGCTGAAAAAGTGCTCACTTTTTTTAGCAACATTTCTCAAATGTAAACATGTGTTTGGGGACCAAATAGGACATTTTCCCACTATTTGATGCCTTAAAGAATGGGGGGGGGGGTCGAAAGTGAGTTGTTTTGCGTATATATGAGCTTAATGGTTAACTACCTAGGAATTTGCCTATTCATACCTCTTCTAAAATGTTTATTTACAGTAGCCTATTCTTTTTTTTTTTCAAAAAAAATCGACAACTCAATTTTGTATACTGTGGACGGTTGTTGGTGACGATATTGTGTAATTTGCTCTATCAGAGACATAAATAAGATACTGTAAATTATGTTAAGTCTCTACAGTAGCTATACAGGAATGTCAGACGTTTCACTCCCAAGACATTTCACTATTGAGACGTTTCACTCCCAAGACGGTTCACACCTAGACGTTTCACTCCCATTTTGTCAATTGTATGGACGTTTCACTCCCATTCTTTAGATGTTTTTATTAAGAAAATTTATTTTCATTATGAAGGGGAAATTCAATTTAATGATTCATTTTGTTGAATTTGAGAGTATTGTCATCTAAGTATTGTTAAGAAGAATTTATGAATTTGAAGAATGATTATAAAAGTATATTTTTTCTGAAATATAACAGAATGTGTAAATAATTATGATCTATACAGTATAGTATCAGCTCAGAAAAGTGAATTTTGTTCCGTTTAAACAGTGTTTTGAAGAATTCCCGTTAAATAATTATTAGGAGTAAAAATGTTGGTTTCAATGAGGACATAATCATGATGAATTATTAGAAAATTATCATTATACCCCATGAAAGACAACTGTCTGAAATTTTGTTTTTATTATAAGAGTATCATCATGAGAAAATTCTATATATAATAAGTCAAGAAAGATAATAGAATAACAAAATGAAAATGTTCATGAACAACAAAGACACATGGTAAAGTACCAGTTTGAATATTGAAACCACTACCAGTACAGTAATTAAATAAATCAATATATAAAATATATTTATTAGTTTTTTTGTAAATATATTTATCAATGAAATGCAGAAAATGTGCATAAAATTAATTATTCTTTTAAATTATTTCTTTAATATCAATTTATTGAACAGTAGCCATTAAACAAACTTAGTTAATTGTGGTGTTAACAGTAATCTCATCACCTAATTAGTTGTATAAACACTGAGACCATCAATCAACAGTTTGACATCACTATTAAATTAGTTGTATAAACATTGCACTTTAGCATCAACAGTTATTAATTAGTTGTTTATTGGACCATTGAAATATTTTTAGCAATGTTCAGCAAATTAAAACCAAAGTCATGGAAACAGAAACTCCTCCATAAGTTTTGGTTATAAATTATAACAAAAATAAAATAATATTTAATCAGATAATCATATTTAATATATTATGTAAGATTATGTACATATTTTTTTTTTACTTATTGATATAAAAATATACTTAATGCAAAGAAATTCACTTATAAATTATTATCATTAACATCTTTAGAGAACTGCAACTTTCATACAATTATATCCGGTCATATATGATATCCTTCCCTAAATATCTGAAAAGATATCAGATCAAAGATCTCTCTAATCAAGTAAAAAATAAAAAAAATAAAACTTTAACAATTATGACATATAAACTTTCATTTTTTAGTAAAATTAAGGTCTATTGTAGTATATCACAAGTATCAAAATAATTTTGGTATAAAATGGGAGTGAAATGTCTTCAAGACGTTTCACTCCCATTTGGGAGTGAAACGTCTTGGTGTGAACCGTCTTGGTGTGGACCGTCTCAATAGTGAAACGTCTGTCTACCGCTATACAGTACAGTACAGTGTCGATTTTAGGCTCTTGAATTCCTGTTCAAAATGGCGACTGCTGTTGGGAGGGTAGACGAATTTGTAAAAGATTATTTAATATATAGAGGCTTGTCGACTACTCTCAAAACACTTGAGATTGAATTGAGAAATGAAAAGGAAAAAGGATTCAGGGTAAGAGAAAATTTGCAATGCTTTTTTTAAGGAAACACTGTTTCTTGTAGCTTTCGGATATATTTATAAGTTGAACACCACTAAATGTTTTCCTTCCGCATTCTTTTTTTTTTTAAAACTTAAAATATTAACACAACACAAGGTGCTTTTACACTATCAGGTGTTGAAAGTTAACTTAAAAACATATCTCTTAGAATAATTTAATATTTAAAACAATAACCAAAAATGTTACAAAGAATGAAAGATCGACAGACAGTACTGGTCGGGGACCATCAACCGGACACTTTTTGAACATTTTTCTGTGCAGATTTCATAAATTTTAACCTAGAGACCAAAACAGTTGACAAGGTTTAGCTAGGTTCTTCTCCTAACTAACAAACTAGTTTGTTTATTTCTGATTGTATTGAGACTTATATCTGAGGCTCGACAAGGAGGGTATCAAAATTACCTCAATTGTCTACACAGTACACTACAGTAGATCTACCATGTGTCCGGACATTTATGTACATGACGTGATTTAATTCAGATAAAAGCTTGGGTGTTTTGATTTTTAATTTTTAACATGATAGACAATATTTCAGCAACAAATAGTTGTAGAAGTTTTGGAAATTCTATTGTTTACTCTGCAAATGATTATAGCTGGAATATGAGGTCAAGCATCATTTTCTTGACCCCCAAATTTCAACATCAACATTCTTGAAATAGCCATTAAAATATTACCATTTACGGTGGTTGAAATAAATTTATTTATTTATTTTTGCATTTATTGTTGATAAAAAAGTGACTGACAATCACTGAATAAAAAAAATAAATTAAGCATTTTCAGGGCTGTCCAGGTTTGGTGGTTGTCCAGTTTTGGTGGTCCCCAAGCAGTATCCATGTAATTACAGATCTTGAACAAGGTCCATGATATGTACAAGTTGAAAGATTGACATACCAAAGGACTGACCCAACAGAATATTGAATGGATAGAACATTGATGTGTCCAGTGTTGCATCTAGAATTTCAAAATTATGGGGGATTGTCCCCCACTCAACTGAAAAATTTGGGGGATTTGAAAAAAAATGTGGGGGACATACATTTACCTTACAATATGACGTACCAAAAAGAATTCATTTATTTTACGTTCAGGCATTTTTGACAGCTATCGTCCGCTCAAAAACAGAAGTAGAAAAAATAAAGTATTGACGAATGCTACAAAACACGCACGAGATGACCCAGTCAGCTGCTACACACGATTTAGTATGTATTTTAGTCATAACCACGAGTGAAAACAAACATGGCTGAAGCGTTCAAGATAAGATGTAGATAAACTGAATTAAGTTGAAAAGATCGTCAGATGCGCGACTTGGCGCATTGTCTTCATTAAAATGCGCGATCTGCATAAAAACTGGGCAAATCGCACTCGCAGATGCAACACTGTGTGTCATGTCAATTTTTTGTCACAGTTTGTTACTTTATTGAAAGGTGCATTTGCTGCTTCTATATATTTGGATTTTGTAATATCTGCTCAGTGGCTCCCAGGTCTCAAGTGCTAAATCTTTTATTCTGTTTACTGTCTTGAATCTCATTTTCATTGGTCACTGTAAAAGTTTTGTTGCTTTTGACCAATCAAATACCTGATGAAGTCACTCCTTTACAACCTCAAAAGTGCTGTCAAGTGGTGTGAAAATTCAAACTTAATGAAAGTTTTGATGATATTTAATTAACATAGACTGAATAATAGGTGTAACAGTACTAAATTTTATACTATAACGTTTCACTAGATACAGGCCAATTTAGAAGGTTTATTCCATAGTAGTTGGTAAATCTCATCCAAACGGCTGTGCATATATTTTGACGAGATGTCGTTTGTGTTATAATAACATAGTGTAAAGACACGCTAAATTTTTAGAAGCGCCATTGAGCACTTTAAGCACTCTTTATTTTAAATATGTGATAAATAGAATATTATATTTGTGTAATTTCAATACTGAATTCATTGAACTCGTCAAATAAAATAATATTATGCTCGCATAATATAACTTTAATCAACTTGTTCAATAAATTTAGTATTGAATTTACACTCATTCAATATCCTGTATTCATGTAACTTTCTTCTAAATTCAGGTAGATAAGATAGTGGAGCAGCTACAGAATTATGTCTCAAGTTATGACTTGCCAAACCTGAGGGATTATTGGAACTTCCTAAACAGCCGATTATTTGCTCGCCTAGAGCAGAGGTATATGAGCAGTGTACGGAAGTTGGAGGTGGGATTACTAAAATACTACCTTGTAAATGCGTCGCAAAACAACAAACAGGATAAAATACTAGAGTTCTTCGATAGGATGACAGAAATTTTACAATCACAGGTGGAATTTAAGGAATGGTTTGGTAAGATGAGTTTCAAATCTCCCTAGTTGCTACATTTTTTTAAATTTCAATTTGTAAGGTTTTTTGCAGGGTTCGATATATATTTGTATTATTAACCAGCTCTGTAGACTTGTATAGTTGTCTGATGTTTTTATTTTTAGAGCATTAGCTACATCTCTTTTAAAATGCAAAGTAAACTTTCGATATGGCTAGCATGTAACCAAGATTTATTTGTAATTTCAGCTTTTCCATTTGTAAGGAATCCACGGGAGAACAGTCATTTTACAATGTATTTTACAGTGCAATGGCAGGAGACATTCTTCCTTTCACTTCACAACTTTCTAAGTGTGATTCTGCAAGCTATGCATATCCTTTTAAAGTTTTTTGTTAATGCAAATCATTTCAAATTGAGTTAGGTATTCAGCAGCATTATATTTCAAACTTTAAATGTCTAAGACTTTATTTAAGCATTATTAAAATTGAATGTGTAATTGTGTAATATATAATGGTATTTACATGTTGAGTTCTAGTCATATTAAGGACAGGCATAATTTATTATGTCTACTATGTTTAGATCCAGGGCAGCCTGCATACAAGTAATATGTACCCTTTTCTGTTTGCAGTTGACATTGAAACCTTTTAGCCCTTACCATCCTAAATATTTTAAACGGACATGTCCATCTTTCATTTCATGGTAAAGCCATTCATCATTTTATCGGGAAAATTGCAAAATAGGTACTGACTGAAAAGTGCAGACCATGATCAGAAGGCATAGATGTGCAACAAATGTTGGTCTGCAGTCTGCACTGGTTTCTGGTGTAGGATCTGTTACTGCCAGTAGGTTAGAGATCAACAATGAAAATTTTCAAATATAAAGCCTGACTAGTCAGAATTTAGCAGAGTTAAAATGTGAAATTGTATGTCACAACTTAATACATAAAGTAATAGTAGATGTAAAGCTCTATTTTATTTGATATGAAACGGGGAATGTTTAGGTTTCCTTAACAGTATTGCACCAGGTCCAGTATTGCTTAGTTTTGAAGCTGAATATAGACAGATTAGAGACCTGCAGGATGAAAATGACAAACTGAAAGTACAGGTAAACAATTATAGTACCAATCGTAACTTTTCGGCACTTTCCCATCAGTCTTGGGATAAAGACCTCACACACAATAGTATGAATACACAGAACGGATACGGTAGTCCGGTCTTACCTACACTAAGGAAAACTAGACATGTAAATAAATAATGATTTAATGCTGGGAGTTTTTGACAAGTTTATTTCCAATATATCAAGTAAATGCCAACCTTAAATAAGTGAATTCATAGATACAAAAGCAAACAATACATTATTAGCTCGACTTTTCTATGAAAAGGGGAGCTATCCTACTCGCCCCGGCGTCGGCGTTGGCGTCACACCTTGGTTAAGTTTTTCGTACCACCCCACTTTATTTCAGAAGTATTACAAGTATGGCTTTGAAACTTACCATACTTGTTCACCATCATAACCTCCATCTACAGACAAGAGTACATAACTCTGTCAAGGTTTTTGACAGAATTATGGCCCTTTTTTGACTTAGAAAGTGTATTGAGCTTGGTTAAGTTTTTTGTACCACCTCACTTTATTTCAAAACCATTGGAGGTATTGCTTTGAAACTGACCATACTTGTTTACCATCACGACCTTCATCAACAGACAAGAGGACATAACTCTGTCAAGGTTTTTGACAGAATTATGCCCCTTTTTGACTTAGAAAATACATTGAATATGGGTAAAATCCACTTATTGCCTTAACCCTTTGAGATATTGCTTTGAAACTTTTAATGCTATTTCACATCATTACCCCCATCTGTACGCAAGAGAAGGTAACTCTGTCAAGGATTTGTTTTAAAAATTAAGGCCTTTTATCGACTTAGAATCTTGGTTAAGTTTTTAGTACCAGTCCACTTTTTGACTGAACTGTTTGAGATATTAATTTGAAAGTTGGAATACTTGTTTACAATCATGATTCCCAAACATGTCCAGGAGAAGGTAATTCTGTCAAAGATTTTATTTGAATTATGGCCCTTAACTGTCAATGTTTTGTATTATAGGCAAGCACTAAAAAACTTAAAAAATCTAAAAAAATTCATTCCTATCCACTTGTTCACTTTACCATAAATTATGTCATAATAAAATAATTCTTCACTAAATATCTTAATGCTCATGGCCATTGTTCACTTTAAAAATACAGAGATTCTTGTATTGCCTTTTACTGCAAAAACTTTTTTTATTGGCAAGCAATAAAAAAGTCGAGCGCGCTGTCTTACGGACAGCTCTTGTTTGTATATCTATTACATATGCATTATGGTTGAAGAAACTGAAAGTACAAAATGTCAACCTGTTGACAGTAAGTCGGATTTGTTTCAAATTGTACATCTGTGGGCATATTTAAATCTATTTAAATTTATATTTTCAATCATAATTGTACCGAAACAGACTTACTTTTTTGCATATGTCGCTGTATGAAGCAGACGTGTTATTTTGTGCTCTTGGATTATATTTAATTGCTAGTTTATTTCTATTTGGATTTGACTGAAAGTGTGCATATGTGATAATGAATGCGGTTTGCATCTTTGTTTGTGTTTATTTATTGGCTGTGTCATTGATTGAATGGGCTACTCATACTTCAACTGAATATTTTGGACAATTTTTACATCATAATGGAGTAGACATTTTACAAACCAAAAATATTTCAACAAACAAAATTGCCTACAGCCGTGATCAATTATTGAACATTGGATTAAATGTCACAAAGCACTGGAGATATTATAAACCTGATCAATCTGTATTCTATACAATAAATAAATTGGACATAGCCCCGGCTGGAAAAAAAGGAAAAGAAAGAGGGGTGGACAATCAAAACCTCTAACAAAGCAAAATGGGATTAACTCTCATAATCTCATATATCCAAAAGAAATGCGATACACTGAATAACAGATTCAATGAAAAAGTATCTTTCATAACTGTAAATTGTCATTCAGTTCGAAACAAGGATGTTCGTGTTGGTCAGATACTACGAGAACAGAAACTTGATTTTGCCCTCCTCACTGAAACTTGGTATTCGGACGAAAATCAGCATGAATATGAAACTAGTGACCTTAATCAAAACGGTTATAAAATTAGTGTAGCCAATCGAAAGAACCGAATCGGCGGTGGGATTGCTTTGACCTGTCGCACCGTTGTGAATATGAGGAAATTGAAATCTGGAGTGACAAATTGTTTCGAATTTGGTATTTGGCAACTGGTATTCAAAAACATTACAATGCATGTAATTGGTATTTATAGACCACCATCCATGTCAACAAATTCACAATTTATTTCTGACTTTTTCCAATTCATGGAAGGGATTATGCCTCAATATTCCAATCTTCTAACACTGGGTGACTTTAACTTACATCTGAATGAAGAAAATAGCGTGATATCAGAATTTAAAGACTCATTATTCGCTATGGGTTTGGTGCAGCATGTTAACTTTGGCACACAAGTTTTTGGCAATACTCTTGACGTTGTTATTACGGAAGCAGTCAATGGGGTTGAAATTGTGGCATGTGAACCTGGTGATTATGTGTCTGATCATCGAGCAATAAAATGTGTTTATAAATGTTCAAAAAGAAAACATAATCAGTAAGTCAGTCAAATTTAGAAACTTTAAAAAATATGGACGAGTCATCTGTTAGAAAAGAGTTCAGTGAAATTACAATAGATCAGAGTGATATTAATCTATACGTGAATGAGTTTGAAAATAAAAAATAAAGAACGTTCTGGACACTCATGCACCTGAAAAAGAGATAACAAAAGTAATTAGAGCCCCTAAACCATGGTTCACTCCCGAAATTCTCACCCTTAAAACATCGACTCGGAAAGCTGAAAAAATATGGAGAAAATATCGTCAACCTCAACAATATGAATCGTTCAAAAAGTCTCGGAACCAGTACAATGATGAACTCGAAAAAGAGAAAACAAAAGTAATAAGTGAAAAAGTAACTAATACAAAGGGTGATTCCAAGAAGCTGTACCAGTTAGTGTCTGAGTTAACAGGAACTAAATCAGAAAACCCAATGCCACCTGGGTACAGTGATAGTGAGCTCTCCGAACACTTTGCCTTATTTTTCATGAATAAAATAGAGAAAATACGTGATGACCTTAAACCATTTGATAAATTCGAGCCAAATACTAGAAACGTTCCATCTCTTCTTGCCTTTGATGAATTTTCAAATGATAATGTTAAAGAGCTGATAAATGAACTACAGACAAAATCTTGTGAATTGGACATATTACCGACAGCAATATTAAAACTATTCCTTGGAGAACTACTCCCAATTATAACAAAACTGGTAAACTTATCACTACAGCAAGGAATATTTCCAAATAAATGGAAAGAGGCTATCGTGAGACCACTTTTGAAGAAAATTGGACTTGAACTTGTATTCTCAAATTATAGACCTGTGAGTAATCTATCGTTTTTATCAAAATTGATTGAAAAAGCAGCTCTTAAAATACTAAATAAACATGCTGATCAGTATGACTTACTACCTACAAATCAATCCGCCTACAGAAAATACCACTCCTGTGAATCTGCTCTACTGCGATTAGTTAATGACCTGTTGGCAGCCATGGAAAAACAAGAAGTTACAGCGCTAATCGCGATTGATCTCAGTGCCGCGTTCGACACTGTGGATCATGATATACTCGTCGACGTGCTACAGAAGCAGTACGGCGTGAGCGGTTCAGTGCTCAGCTGGCTTGATTCATACCTTCGTCCTAGGGGCTGTCGCGTGTGTGTCAACTCGGCAGTCTCAGCTCCACGGCAACTAGAGTGCAGTGTCCCCCAGGGTAGTTGTTTTAGGGCCTTGGCTCTACCTAACGTATGCGGGAACCTTGTTTGACGTGATTCCATCTGGATTATCGGTGTATGGATTCGCTGATGACCATACTGCAACCAAACGTTTTAAACCGACTGAAGAAAATAGTGAAATTTCTGCAATCGCTGAATTAGAAAATGGTGCGATTGATATCAACAACTGGATGAACGCTAATAAACTCAAGATGAACTCATCGAAAACAGAATTCATAACATTTGGAAGTTCTCAACAACTCGAAAAGTGTCACCTAAAATTCATTTGTATTAACGGAGATAAGATCAACTCCGAGGAGTCCATTAGATATTTGGGCGCATTTCTAGACCAAACACTAAATTTCAAGGAACATGTCAAACGAAAGTGCCGTACTGCAATGTTAAACTATCTTAGAATAAAACGTATCCGAAAATACCTCACCAAAGAAGCAGCTGAAATACTAGTTATAGCACTCGTAATGTCACACTTGGATTATTGCAATGTCATTCTTTATGGTGTATCCGATTTTGAATTGAAAAAAAATGCAACGTATTCAAAACATGTGCTCTAAGTTAGTTCTGCAACGAAAGAAATTTGACAGTTCAAGGCAAGCACTGTTCGACCTTCACTGGCTGCCCATCAAATCTAGAATCGAATATAAAATTTTGACTTTTGTATACAATTGTTCAATCGGTCATGCTCCAAAATACCTTTCTAAACTCCTAACCAAACAAGTACCAAATACCCGACTACGTTCAGCTAAAACCTCTGAGAACTGCTACGTTATTCCATTCAATAAAAGAAAAACATTTAGTGACAGAAGTTTCGGAACTATTGGTCCAAAATTGTGGAATCCGCTGCCATTAGAGTTGAAACAATCTAAGAATATTGATGTATTTAAGAGAAATCTTAAAACACATTTTTTCAGAAAGTTTGAATCACTATTTTAAAATCTGAAATAAGATAAACATGAGTAACGTATAACTGATGACTGACAGTGTGATGAATGTGCGATGTAAATGAATGTTTTGTTCTTTTTAATCTATTTGTAATCAAGTTACATGTATGTACATAATCTTATCTCATGCTACATGTATATCAATCAGTTTTATCATTTTATGGTCTCTGCAATTTTTTAAAAATATGTTAATTGGAATTGTATGTAAAAGCTTTTATTTCACTTGATGTTGATCCACATATTCTTATGCATTCACAATTTTATTCTTAATATTTATATGTATTGTACAACGCCGTTGAATATTGTTAAATAGAAACAGGCGTTTAATTAAATAAAAAGTTTCAAGTTTCAAGTTTCAAGTACTTTTCTTTTTGATGTTAAATATATACATTGGTTATTACACTCTCTCTTTATGTTTACATCTGAAACCACTTGGTAAAACTACTTTCACTCTGTATTGTTTCCGAGGTTATTATAGATAATAGCCGGGGACGTTCTGATTGTTGTAGTACAACACTATTAGTAATAGACAATTGAACTTTTAAAACTGCATGGCTAAGATTTTCTTGTAATGATGTGAGGTTAGAAGGATAATAGGAATTAAAATTTTGGAAAGAATCTGCATACTATACTGCTTTTGATTGCTTTCTGTAATAAACATGTACTTGAATACCTGGTATATGGAGGCTGAGTACCACAGGTTAAGTATACATATATATTGACACTATTTAATAAATAATAATGATATATAGAAACTTCTGCATGTGTATAACTTCAAAATAAATGATATATAGTATGAATGGAATTAAGAAATGTGTATGGTGTTGTGAAATATGCATATGAATATTCAGGAATTACATTTTGTATGTAGATTAGATAATATAAATAAATGAATGTAATTGACATCATTGATCAATGATGAAAAAATTTGGATAAAAAATTCACAATTCTCTCTATCAATTGTGTATGCAGACACTACTTATACCTATGTTGTTTATAATATCTTAATTTTAATTCTGGTATAGCATACAAAAAGTCTTGGTTCTTCAATGGCCTGTAACTCTAAATGTGACCTTGACCTTTGACCAAGAGACCTGGTTCATGTGCGCAACACAGCTTCTCATAGTGGTGAACATTGCCATGAAGTTTCATTGAAACACTTCCATGTGTGTAGGAGATATGCTCTGTACAAAAATTGGACACTGCCCACCTGTTCCCCACCACACCAACCACACCAGGGGGGAAACTTTAATAAGACCCGTTTTTAAAACAGTTCCGCTGTAACCGATTTCATTGTTTTGCTAAGTAAAAAGTTCAGAATGCACAGCATGACATGATATGTTCTTTAATCCATTTATAGATAAAGTCATTAGGGGAGAAACCAGACTTGACATCAAAGATGACAAATCGAGAAAGTTACTTGAGTGACCGCAGTCACATGGATCTGGTATATGACTTCTCATCTCTCGGAGAGTAAGTTATATTCAATTGTTCCCACCACCAGTAGAGTAGTTATGTTTCAAGATGGTTTTTACAGTATTGGTTTGACTGAAAGTCTGAAACCCAAACCAAAAACATAAAATTAAAAAAGGAATAAAGATATTTGTATAAAAGTTTGTTTCAACAAAAGTTATAAACTATTCTTTTTCTTTATTTGTTTAATCAACCATCCTAGTCATGTGTTGAGCCACTCTTTTAACAGTCATTTGATTAAATCCAAGTATGCCCAAGATATTAGATGGTCAGGAACCTTTGTTTATTCTTGCATATCAGACTGGGGTTTCCACTATGCTGGAAATTTCATCTAGCAAGGAGTTGCCAGAGGGGTATGACATCTTATGTCATCTTATGTAAGCGCATTCTCAGCCCCGTCGTCACGATTTTTTGATTGGTGCGGCCAATTTGATTGGTTTTAGGTAGAATCTAGAGGGGTACAGGGGCATGCTCCCCGGAAAAATTTTTATTCTAGGATGCTCTCAGGGGCGTTTTCACGTATATATGGCACAGTTTACAGCCTGCCGCTAGGACATGTTATAGTAATATGTCAATGATTTAATTAAGTGCGTCGTAAGTTTTAAAGGTGAAATTTAAGGTTCGCATGACGGACGGACAGGTGCACATAAAATATGAATATGTAATTGATATTTGGCAAATGAGAAATAAACAATAACTGATGTTATTATAATTCTTTAGATGCATTTTTATCTGATGATTAAAAATAAACAAATAAAAGAAATATTACAGTACGTGGATTATTGTTTAGCATAAATCACACAATGGTATAAGCTTAAATAACAATCGATGACATGATGGAAGAATAATTACGAGTCAACAATTAATAACCAATTTATGTTTAGCAGTAACTTGTATTTTGTTAACAATAATCTTACACAACACAGAGTCTCATTTTATGTAAATTTTCAAAAAAAAACATCGCCGTCGTTCTCTGGTGGTAATGAACTCCTAGGCAATTACAAGTAAGCTGATTGAATCTGTCTTATACTTCTGAATATGTAACACCATTAGATTGTTCAAATGTACTTGAGACATTGTCGATCTCAGGTATGTCTTTATTCTTCTGAACGCCGAGAATGTCCTTTCACTGGTAGCATTAGTAGCAGGCATTACTGACAAAATCTTTAACAACACAACGACCTCAGAGAACAGTGCTGACTGTTCTGACACAAATTTCAAAATGTCAGGTAGAGTAACAGTGCTATTTTCTGATTTGTCAAAATGTGAAGGTAGCAGCTGAAGCTACACATCTTGGATGTCTCGGTTAATATCGTTACCACAGAAATCTCAAACAAAACCAAGTCCTCTAGTGTACTCAGTCTTCAAAGGTTGTGCGGCCTTTATAAGTAAATTCTCCAAGTTTTGAAGTACGCGATATCCCGGTTGGTCAAATCTCTCTTTAACACTGGCGATGGCAAGATCGATTGCCTCAAAGTACCTAGGCCGGAACACGTCCTGCACTGTAACGGGGTGGTAACCTACACCGTGCCCCATCTCGAATCGTGTGGGCGCCTTTCTCTTCCATCGTTAACATCAACGAGATCACTCTCACTTTGAAGTTTAATCCATAAAGAATCAAAACTGTTGTCTGTTCGCATGTCTATCAAACTATCTAGAGTCCGCCTGCTAGCCGCTGGCCCTCAGATGCTGACAATGAAACTTGTTGAGGAGATTTGCTGAAGTTGTCTGTCAATGCTAGGATGTTGTGTGCAAGCATTACACCGAAAAAGTACTCGAACTTGACTTCGTAGGACCCCTACATATTCCTGGTCAATTAATTGTGTCCAGTTGTTTCTTTGCGTCATGTTTGTATATTACCGCGCATTGCATAAGGGGCCAGTTAAGTGTCAAATTGTTAATCAGCGATGTGTGTTTTTTTGGGGTTTTTTTACTCATTTTTGGCCAAAATATTGGTTCGGCCAAGACCGGACCGGCCGGAACCATCGACGACGGCCTTGATTATATAAATGAACTGCTTTAAAAAGACATCCTTTTGGCACACTTAAAATGAATTTGTGTGACATGATATTATGATAGGAAATACATGTAGTTAAGATGACTTGACACCAGAATGGATATTCCCATTAGAACAGTAACATATAACAGATATTATTATTCTGGCATAGCAGACTGGCATTTCTGTTAGTTTTGCCCATGCCGTAAGTTTCATCTGGTATGGGGGGGGGGGGGGGGGGTCAGATGAGTTGCGGGTCAGATGAGTTGCGAGCCATACACCTGGCATGCTTAGGATGACTTAATTTACCGTTTTGAATAAAGTTGTAATTTTATACGCTGTTGTAAGAAAATAGTTGCGGGTGTAATGACATAAATTTCCATTGAAAATTGGTTTATCAAGGTAAAGAGTTTAAAATGTAATGGAATATTGTAGAGTATGCAAGAAAAAATATCTGACATGTTTGCGGTTGGGATTGGAATATCTGTTCCTCAGGAACCTGTCCATTGGCAGGTTCCCTCGGGATGGATATTATGATCTGAACTGCAACATATGACAGAAATTATTAATTCTTATATTTTTCTTGTTAAGAGATACAGCTATTCCTGAGACAACAACCAAATCCCCGAAGAAGTTCCCTTTTACATCATCCCCACTCAATCTTGGCAAGAAGAATGAAAAGTCTTCACCAGTCCAGAAGAAAAAAGATGACCCAATCAAAATGTCCATGATGGGTAACAAAGATTCTAAATCTAGCAAAGGAACTAAGCTCTTGCCAGTTATCACAAGGCAAAGGAAACCACCAGTGAAAGGAAATAAGGTACAGAGCCTGGAACCAGGAGCAGTTAGTCATGTGACAGATACTTCAGCCAATCACAATACAGTAGAAATGTCACCAGCCAATCAGAAGATGAAGAAGATTGAAGATGCAAAACAGAAGAGGAAGGAACTCTTTGAAGCGAGCACAAAGGTGAAAGAAGAAAAGGTATCTTATGATTTTATCATGATTGTGACATGCCAAAGCTAGAACCTAAGATATTTATTTCTGGGTCAGTATCTGACTTCTATGTCTAGTGGGAGATATTGCCCATACACAAAATAGCAGAATACATGTATCACAACGCATATAACATTACAATTAGTTGGACTAATAAAGGCAAATTTGTAAATACAGTCTAACTTGCCCATGCGACCACGTGTATTAAGCGACTTTTGTCTTAAACGACCACTTTATATTCCCCCCGATCATTTTCACTCTATATTTTTAATGTATTAAGCGAATTTTGCTCAACGCAACCAGCGACCGCTAATAAGTCACCTAATTGAGAGCAATCTTTTCATTAAACGACCACTTTTACCTGTCAAGTAATTGTGTTTTTAGAGAACGCCGCCTCGTTATGTCATAAGTGTCAACAATCAAAACACAACAAATGAATGTGTGAAAAACTCTATTTCCCAAACTGTTCAAGCGTAAGCAAATGAAGTTAAGTATACGCGTGACGTGTATTATCCAAAAATATCTATTAAACAATGCAACGCTCCGCCCCTACTGATGTGGTGTATACACTCCGCTTGTTGACATTTAGACTGCATTGAATTGACCTTGAACTTGATCAGCAATTAAATTAAATGTAGTTTGTTTATTTCGAATGAAAAATGCACAACAGAAAAAACGTCTTCACTAGTAGGGTTTTCGTGTTGGAGACAAGGAAAAACAACGGAGAAGTTAAACAATTCGGGAAAAAATGTCAAACATGTACGAAATGGATCACAACTGTTTTGTCAATAAATAACAAAGTTATTTTTTACATTGGCATCCATTTAGATTATCGAGCGTGCTAATTATTCAACACTTATATGAAAATGAAGTTGTTTAAGATTCCCACCGCATAAGAAAGATGTCATTTGTAAATTTTTACTTTTATGTCATGCTTTGTCTTAAGAGACCGTTTCATTAAGCGACCGTTTTGGGTGTTTCCCTTGCGGGTCGCTTAATACAAGTTTGACTGTAGAACAAGCAATTTCAAAATATATGTACAGTATATCAGCAACTCCAGCACTTGATGTCAGCAGATTATGGTAAATTGACAGAAAAATGTGCAGCTTGACTAAGACTCGAACACAGAGCCTTCGGAATACTGTACTGTGGTTCTACTGACTGAGTTATCAGGCCACTTACTACTTTTCTCCCTTGATTAGTGAACAGTTCATACTGTGACATGTGTTACTCTGAAAAACTTACATTGTATGTATTCAGGAATTAACATATGCTCAAATGTTTTACAGAAGCCACCAGAAGTAAAACAAGACATCAGTACCGGATATAACCGGTCATTATCTGAATCTGGTGTGGATACGTTGACATCGAAATATTCACCGAGGGGGACTAGAAGAACTGTAAGCAAGAGTGTTCTAGAAACAAAGGTATTATTTGTGATACAAGTTATCGCCCCTCTATATATGTATAGTAAGCTGTAAAAGTCTTTTTGCATGGTTCTACAAACTTCTGTGGTCACAAACTTCAATTTATTAATAGAGGATCCAAATTCAAGTGGAATCTTTGCATTGATGTATAAAATCAACACTTAATCTGCTAAATTCCTTTAATGGACTTGTCCATTTTTTAAATCTTGACAAAGATATCCATCATATTAAGTGGAAATTTCAAAAGAAGTACTGACTGACTAGCAAACAGTGCAGACCATGATTAGATGGCATATAAGCATGCTAGTTGATCGTTGCATAGGTAAATTCATTCACAGTAAGCAGGATAAGGGTACATATACTTTGAAGAAGCAGATATTTTTAAGACATCTAACACAAAAATTGCTATATTTTAATATTGTGTTGTATTGCAACATACACAATTTATATTTTCAATTTTGTACAGTTTTGAAAGAATTTATATTTTGAACTTTATACAATTTTGAAAGATGAGTAATTCCATATAGATATGATAATGCAAAACTTTTTATCACTATGAACTTTTCAGAGTTTACTGTCAAATGCAATAGTGAGGCCTAACCAACTTGTGAAAGGTCACATGCCCTTACATTTGTTCAAACCATTGCTTTGAGGTATATTTTTGACATATTTGCTGTAAGGTTATTTTTATTTCTGTTCACGATATCATTTCATAGTCAAGTATGTATTCTGGCACATCTGGTACCAGTGATTCCATGGAGACCGTATCTCCCTTAGCAACAGCTACCTTAGCAACAATGTTGGGAACCGGTGGGCCCAGCAAGGCAGAGGAGATGCAAACATTTCCACTCACATCCTCTGTTACTGAGCCGGAACAACCTGCCACATCCAACACAGAGACAAAAACATTAGAAACAAGTATGATTTGTTTGTTTGTTTGATTTGGTTTTTACATCACACCATCACAGCATAGGTCATATGGCGACGTTCCAGTTTTACTGGTGGAGGAAGACATCAGGTGCCCCTCTGTGCATTATTTCAGGCACGGACAGACAACTGAGTAGATCCACCGACATTCCGTAAGCTAGATGGATAGCTTCCTCACATGAAAGAATCCAAAGTCCTCCTGTCAGGATTCTAACCCACAGCAGTGAGGGGCAAGTGGTTTGAAGTCAACAACCTTAACCACTTGGCCATGGACACCCTAAATCAAATATGATACTACTATACTACTTTGTCAATATTGAGAAATGATTTTTTTTGTGTGTTGCCTCTAAGGTGTAGTGGCGACATAAAGGATCACTTCTCTGTTGTCTGTATGTCCGCACTACCTAATAGGGATAGTGGGCCATCTAACTGTAAACAGAACAAAAGAGAACTATAGAGTTCATTCCGTAACAATAGAGTAAGGGGCCATTGGCCCTCTATGAAACAAAAGAAAATAACTTATAAGAGTTATGGCTCTCATGAGGCAACACGTGTGATCACTGATCGTTCCTGTTTTGCACAGTTTTCATTATGTATCATTTACAGTTTTCATTAAATTATGTATCATTTGTATGTATAAATTATATGGAACTTTATTTAATTGTTACTTTAATAGTTACTACAAATTATTACAATGATTTAATGTGTTTGTTTTATGTCTTTCAGTTCATGAGAAACCTTTTCTGTTGTTAAGTCAGGTAAGATTATAATAGTTTTCATCAAAATCTCATTAAATATGTTACTTTATTTAATTTTACCCATGAAATATGGTGCTATATTAGTCAAATATATTTCATATTTTTTAAAAATAAATATGAAATATAAATATGAAAGTGGGCGGAGTCAAAACTCATATTTATTTTAAGGGACTTCTTTCGCTGTTTTGTTTGAAAAATCTGATGAATACAAAACAAATTTTTCTTGAATATTGTTTTGAAAACTATCTAGCATGATAGAAAATGGTCTAACTAAGAAAATTAATTCGAACACCAATATCTTTAAGTCAGTAATTAACGCTGTACAGACAGGCTGTCAACCAATTCCTATATTCCTATAAAACTCCTATATTTTGGGTCGGAATCCTATATTCTAAAAAACCTCCTATTTTTCCTATATTCTCCTATATTTTGATTATTTTTCCTATATTTTTTTTAAAATATATTGCCGAGAAATTCAAAGAGATTTAAATTTTGGTACTGCTTTTGGCATTTTGTATTTTACAGGTAAGAGAATGTGTATGCCTGTATCAGCATCACATTACTATGCTCAAGGCTGCTATGCTCCTCATAGCCATCTGCATGGTCACCATGAAAAGCAGTGCATCAGTATGTCAACTTTATTTCAGGTGACCATTCAGATGATGGTCATGCATTGCTGTAGCTTTCTGCCGGGATGCTGATGCTGTGGTTCACTAATGCAGGCTGTCCGCTGCATCCTTAAAATTCCTAAAAAAATCCTAATTTTTTTCTGTTTGGCTAAAATTCCTAAAAAAGTGAAAATTTCAAAGGAAATTCCTAAAGATGCCTTATTTTTTCACTTTTATTCCTAATTTTTTTATCTTTTGTTATTAACATACTTATAACTTGTAACCCTGTCAAAATAATCGCGGACATAACTAAGTCAACCATGTTTTGAACGTGGTGAAAAAAGATTTGGCCATGATATACCAACTCAAAATTGATGACATTGAAATGGTTTCGTTTTAACTAAAAGTTACTTTGACTATGTCAGTAACATTGCTATTTCATAATCAAAGCAGTTGTTGATAATCATATTGACAGCAAAAATACTACCATATCATGGTCCTGAAACTCAAATCATAACCATAAGAGTCCACATATTCTAGAATATTTTGACACTTTTTTGCCAACTCCAGATATTTTGAATTTTATGTTTGTTCATTTTATCCAAATTTCTGAAGTGGTCCATTTATATCATATCATATTTAAAAATGATCATTATGAAGCTGATGTAACACAATCTTAATTAAAGACATGTATAAATAGTTGTCAAAAATTAATGTACAATTTGTTTACTCACAACTCTTTTATTTAAATCTGCATAATTTCAAAACAACATTGTAAAGTACTGAATGGGTTAACGTAGACTTTGAAAAATTATTCTTTCCCACATACTTATTTATCATTTTCGATGTCTTTGTAGGAGAGTTTGCTTTTTTTGCCACAAAGTTATCACTTTCATTCAATTCTTGTTCTTTCATTCATCTGGTACAATTTAGGAAAAGGCAGACTCATGTAATTAATCACACTCAAAAATAATTTGGCAGTTCAGTAATATAAAGCTCATTTCCAATTTCCATGTACAAACATTTTGCCATTATATGAACTAGATAAACTACAATTGAATGGTCTGTGTGATGAACTTTTTTGATGTGCAATTCTTTGTGTTGATTATAGATGCTTCCCATTTATTCAAATGACTGTACTAAGGCAAATGCCTTTTTACTTCCTACTTGTACAAAAAATTTCATTTGTCTATATTCAAAAGCTGCATTGTGCAAGAATTTCACTGTATAAGAATTCCTTTTAGACACTTGTGGTTATAACATTCCCAAAACATAGGTAGAACAGTCATGTTCTTTTTGACATATTCAGCCAGTTTAAAAAATATGGTTTGAACATGATTTGACTATGACCATTTTCGCAGGGGAGGCAGTTGACCAGTGAGTCCACACTGGTAGCACCTTTGCTGTAACTAAACTAGAGCATTATTTGTGAGTTACTTTTGTGTCAAATATGCAAAGATTAGCCCTCATCTTGGTCCTTTGGGACCTTAGTTTATTTAGTTATAAAATTGCAAATTTTAGCCCTAAAATTTCTATTATGTTACCTAACATTCCTAATTTTAGCCCTAAAATTTCTGAAATATTACCCTAAAATTCGCCCTAATTTTATGTATGAAGGTGCTGGACAGCCTGCTAATGTTGTCCTTCACTTATACGGTAGACGTTTTATTGTAGAAACAGCATGTGTAAAAGTAAGAATAATTTACATTTTTATAAGCATTGGTAAGTTAAACAATTTAAGTTGAAAACTCCTATTTTTTGCCTCAAAATGGTCCAAAAACTCCTATATTTCCTGCTAAAATATTCCTATATTCCTCCTTTATTTTGGATAAGACCTGGTTGACAGCCTGTACAGACGATTAAAGAGTTGTTTACATGACGTCACAATGTAGCGCCAAACAGCGCGTGCTTACGCATTAATTACTGCGCGCTGTACAATTGCAGTTGGTAGCAAGCACGGGGATTCGTTACCATTTTCTTTGATAATGAAATTAAATAAAAAGGTTATTTTTTCGTTTTTCGTGAAATATGGTATATATTTTCACTCAACATGATAAAATGCCACATATTTTCACTCGCCGTACCGGCTCGTGAAAATATGTGGCATTTTATCATGTTTCGTGAAAATATATTCCATATTTTACGCAAACGAAAAAATATCCTCTTAACATTCAGGAATTTTTTTGGCTTATTTTATAGTCGATATTCGGTCATATTCCCAATTGAAAATAGTATATTATTTTCCCAGTCCATAGGAAAAAGTTCCTAATTGAAGTTACAAAATAACAATATTGAATGAAAAATTCTAAAATCTTTGAAAATATGGGCTTCTTCACTGTTATGGTGCTTAAATGTTTGAAGACGCCATTATAGACAGTGATTGTTTGCATTCATTTAATCACTGCGAAATTTTATTCCTGATTTTTTCCCAATCTTTAACAAAGCATCACTGGAATTCCCAATTCTGTTGGTATGGGTCATGTTCCCAAAATCCTGGAAAAAAAATCTTGGACATGTCTTTACTCGTAAGCCTACCAGTGGCAAATGATTTTACCCATGCATCTAGATCAGACTGCACAGATTGAAATTTAAAATAGTTTATGCATATAGAAAACTAATTGAACCCTTATGTTGTATTTGATTTTGCATTGTAACATGCATACACTTTTCCATACCTCTGTTAGTGATTTTACATGAAAACCGTATAAAAATCAAGTTATTTATAGGTATAATACATGTAATATTTTGATAAAAAATAGTAGAGAAATAAAGCAGAAAGTTAAGTGATTATTAAGAAGTTCTGAAACAATTTCAAAGTCAATGAACAAAAAAGTGACAAAACGTATTTTAATGATCAGAAAAGTGAATCAAAAGATTACCAGTGACAGAGACAGTGGCAGACTTTGATGTTTTTTTTGTTTTTTTTTTCGTAATTGCATTTTTGATTTGCATAGTACATGTACATATATGTGTTTTTGGGGTAGTTGATCAGAGTTTTTGGCCTATGTTTCTTGCACTTTTGATTGTCTTAGTATTTGAGGCAGCTGATGTAGTTACATGGTACATGTATTGTAATTTTCAGGATGAGTATTCAGAGCATAGGGCCTCCATATCATATGCCAGATTTAGTAACAGTGGTCAGTATGTGGCAAGTGTGGATGTTGATGGCGTAGTCAAGTGAGCTTTATTATGATAACCAGTATAGTTATTTAAATTTTCAATAATTTTTTCTCCATATGTAAAGGGAAAAAAACAAATTGCCTTGCAGATCTCCCTTGAAAAGAATTAAGAATTTGCCTCCTATTTTTACCAAAATTATTTTTGATTAATTATTGAACTATGTCAGACAACTAGAACTGTTGACTTGTGGACACTTCAGGCAGACAGGTAATGTTCTAAGTAATTACTTGTACGAAGCCATGTTTGTTTAAATGGTATAAATTGTCACCTTTCAAATCACTTGTCATTCTTGATGTTATGGAGCAATTCCGCAATGATAAGGAAGGTTTGTGGTTCGACACATTGTTTATTACTCAGCCTGAAATACTCAGCAGTGTGAATTCTCTAAAACAACCAAAATTGAGCCTCGTCATGACAAAACCAACATAGTGCGTTTGCGACCAGCATGGATCCAGACCAGCCTGCGCATCCGCGCAATCTGACCAGGATCCATGCTGTTCGCTATCAATTTCTCTACTTGTTATAGCATTTGTAAGTGAACAGCATGGATCCTGACCAGACTGCACGGATGCTGGTCGCAAACCCATTATTTTGGTTTTGTCATGCTCAAATGTCAATGAAATTTTTTCAGGGTATGGTCATGGAGTCCCAAGGCAGTTACAGCAGCTACAGTGATGTCTAAATCAGCATTCCTGTCACTAGAGTGGGCTAGCAAGTCTGACAGATGGGTAAGCATTAATGTTATGTCATACAAACTGTAATATATGTCATACAAACTGTTATATATATGTCATACAAACTGTTATATATATATGTCATACAAACTGTTATATATATGACATACAAACTGTTATATATATGACATACAAACTGTTATATATATGACATACAAACTGTTATATATATGACATACAAACTGTTATATATGTCATACAAACTGTTATATATATGTCATACAAACTGTTATATATGTCATACAAACTGTTATATATGTCATACAAACTGTTATATATGTCATACAAACTGTTATATATGTCATACAAACTGTTATATATGTCATACAAACTGTAATATATGTCATACAAACTGTTATAAATGTCATACAAACTGTTATATATATGTCATACAAACTGTAATATATGTCAAACAAACTGTTATATATGTCATACAAACTGTTATATATGTCATACAAACTGTAATATATGTCATACAAACTGTTATATATGTCATACAAACTGTTATAAACCTTAGCAATGATGGAATAGTTTATTTCAACACCTCAAGATTTATGTCATATTCATGAAAATTTTGGAAATGTATTTAAAAGTAAAATATTATAAGGTGAACAAATAAAATAATTTTCATATTGCAATTGGCATTTACAATCCAAATAAATTACCAAAATGTGGTCAACATATGCAAAAACAGCCCTAACTGCGTTAGTAGGGCATTAGAAATATGGTGATAAAATACTGCAAAATCAGTCTTAAACCGCATGTTAACATGTAAAATATAATTTTGATCTTGAATGAGTTTACTTTACATTTTTCTCAATATTGATTTTCTTGAAATATTTTTGCTCATCTGGAGGCATGCAGCTTGAAGGATTTTTTTTTAGCTCACCTGTCACAAAGTGACAGGTTGAGCTTTTGTGATCGCTTTTCGTCCGGCCGTCCGGGCGTCGTCCATCCGTCAATTTTTACTTTAAATGACATCTCCTCATAAACCACTAAGCCAATTTCATCCAAACTTCACAGGAATGTTCCTTCGGTGGTCACCTTTAAAAATTGTTCAAAGAATTTAATTCCATGCAGAACTCTGGTTGCCATGGCAACCGAAAGAAAAAACTTTAAATATCTTCTTTTAAAAAACCATAAGAGCTAGAGCTTAGATATTTGGCATGAAACATCTTCTAGTGAGTGTCTACCAAGTTTGTTCAAATAAAAGCCCTGGGGTCAAAATTGGCACCGCCCCAGGGGGTCATTGATTTTCCCTATATGCATATAGTAAAAACTTAAAAATTCTTCTTTTAAAGAACCCAAAGAGCTAGAGCTAAGATATTTAGCATGAAACATGTTCTAATGGGTGTCTACCAAGTTTGTTCAAATAAAAGCCCTGGGGTCAAAATTGGCCCCGCCCCGGGGGGTCATTGATTTTCCCTATATGCATGTAGTAAAAACTTAAAAAATCTTCTTTTAAAGAACTCAAAGAGCTATGGCTAAGATATTGAGCATCAAACATGTTCTAATAGGTGTCTACCAAGTTTGTTCAAATAAAAGCTCTGGGGTCAAAATTGGCCCCGCCCCAGGGGGGTCATTGATTTTCCCTATATGCATATAGTAAAAACTTAAAAAATCTTCTTTTAAAGAACCAAAAGAGTTAGAGCTAAGATATTTAGCATGTAACATGTTCTAATAAGTGTCTACCAAATTTGTTCAAAAATAAAAGCCCTGGGGTCAAAATTGGCACCGCCCCCGGGGGGTCATTGATTTTCCCTATATGCATATAGTAAAAACTTAAAAAATCTTCTTTTAAAGAACCCAAAGAGCGAGAGAGCTAAGATATTTAGCATCAAACATGTTCTAATGGGTGTCTACCAAGTTTGTTCAAATAAAAGCCCTGGGGTCAAAATTGGCCCCGCCCCAGGGGGTCATTGATTTTCCCTATATGCATATAGTAAAAACTTAAAAAATCTTCTTTTAAAGAACTCAAAGAGCTATGGCTAAGATATTGAGCATCAAACATGTTCTAATAGGTGTCTACCAAGTTTGTTCAAATAAAAGCCCTGGGGTCAAAATTGGCCCCGCCCCAGGGGGTCATTGATTTTCCCTATATGCATATAGTAAAAACTTTACATTTTTCTCAATATTGATTTTCTTGAAATATTTTTGCTCATCTGGAGGCATGCAGCTTGAAGGATTTTTTTTTTAGCTCACCTGTCACAAAGTGACAGGTTGAGCTTTTGTGATCGCTTTTCGTCTGGCCGTCCGGGCGTCGTCCGTCCGTCAATTTTTACTTTAAATGACATCTCCTCATAAACCACTAAGCCAATTTCATCCAAACTTCACAGGAATGTTCCTTCGGTGGTCACCTTTAAAAATTGTTCAAAGAATTTAATTCCATGCAGAACTCTGGTTGCCATGGCAACCGAAAGAAAAAACTTTAAATATCTTCTTTTAAAAAACCATAAGAGCTAGAGCTTAGATATTTGGCATGAAACATCTTCTAGTGAGTGTCTACCAAGTTTGTTCAAATAAAAGCCCTGGGGTCAAAATTGGCCCCGCCCCAGGGGGGTCATTGATTTTCCCTATATGCATATAGTAAAAACTTAAAAATTCTTCTTTTAAAGAACCCAAAGAGCTAGAGCTAAGATATTTAGCATGAAACATGTTCTAATGGGTGTCTACCAAGTTTGTTCAAATAAAAGCCCTGGGGTCAAAATTGGCCCCGCCCCAGGAGGTCATTGATTTTCCCTATATGCATATAGTAAAAACTTAAAAAATCTTCTTTTAAAGAACCAAAAGAGTTAAAGCTAAGATATTTAGCATAAAACATGTTCCAATAAGTGTCTACGAAGTTTGTTCAAATAAAAGCCCAGGGGTCAAAATTGGCCCCGCCCGGGGGTTCATTGATTTTCCCTATATGCATATTGTAAAAACTTAAAATCTTCTTTTAAAGAACTCAAAGAGCTATGGCTAAGATATTGAGCATCAAGCATGTTCTAATAGGTGTCTACGAAGTTTGTTCAAATAAAAGCCCTGGGGTCAAAATTGGCACCGCCCCGGGGGTCATTGATTTTCCTTATATGTGTATAGCAAAAACTTAAAAAATCTTCTTTGAAAAAACCCAAATAGCTAGAGTTAAGATATTAAGCATGAAACATCTTTTAGTGAGTGTCTACAAAGTTTGTTCAAATAAAAGACCTGGGGTCAAAATTGGCCCCATCCCGGGGGTCATTGATTTTCTTTATATGTGTATAGCAAAAACTTAAAATCTTCTTTGAAAAAACCCAAATAGCTAGAGTTTAGATATTAAGCAAGAAACATCTTTTAGTAAGTGTCTACAAAGTTTGTTCAAATAAAAGCCCTGGGGTCAAAACTGGCCCGGCCCCAGGGGTGTCATTGTTTTTAACTATATGTGTATAGTAAAAACTTTAAAAAAATCTTCTTTTAAAAAGCCCAATGAGCTAGAGCTTAGATGTTTAGCATGAAACATCTTCTTATGGGTGTCTACCAAGTTTGTGCAAATAAAAGCCCTTGGGTTAAATTGGCCCTGCAACGTTAGGGGGGTGGTGGGGGTTGGGGGGCCTATATACAGGTGAGTGACCTCAGGGCCATCATGGCCCTCTTGTTTATGATTTTTCTCAATTTAAGTACATTTATCATAGAATAATTATTGTCTTAGATTCATGTTCCTGAACACTGTGTTAAGTTAACTTGATATTCTTCAAGACTAATGAATATTAATCTGCTAAAGTAGTATTAAGGAATTTTTCAAATCTAAATTTGGGATTTTTCGGGCCTTGAAATTATAAATCTTTTTTTGAGCCAAGTCTAGAATATCAGGATTTCAACTGGTCATTTGGTGCTTTTTTGTTTTTTGACCAATCATATTCTTTAGATCTGAATTTAAAATTTAAAAAATTATTTATACCTTGGAATCGGGAGTAGATCGGGGGGATATTGGCATCAAATATTAGATTTCAGCAGTAAGTGTGTCATAATTCCATCTTGTGCTTAAAGGATTAATATGGTATGTTTTATTTTACAAGTTATTGCTGGGCAACAAATCTGGGAACATACGCTTGTTTGATGTGAAGGAAATGAAATCATTTTATGAAGCAACGGCTGATGCTAGCTATCCAAGGTAAGACTTTCTTCATATCTATGTATCATATCTGTGTAAAGATTTTACTTATTGTTTTTACTTGAACAGCTGTAATCGAGGGGTTAGAGTCAATGACTTCTAATCCAGTTACCTCTCTGGCGTGGGTTTGATCCCTGGAAAATGCTTTGGTAGTTTAGCACGGAGGAAGGTAGTCTAGTACTGGTGTAACTCTCCAGGAACGATGGTTAGGAAACTACCCGCCTATATGACTGAAATACTGTTGGGAAAAGGCGTAAAATGAAACAAACAAACAAACTGTTATGTTTTAAAGATATGATTGTAAGATTAGGTGATTAGTGAACCATTTGCAAATTCGTTGTCTTGAACTGTGGAATTAAATTTTCCCCCTATTACTGGCATATAGATTTGCTCTTGTCTATCCATCCAGATGTCATTCTGATTGTCCATAGACTGACATTACTGAAATATGGGGGCATTCAAGTTCTATGAACATATTCTAGTTGCACTTAAATTTTATTGTTTAACTCATTAATGTGATATCATATGTTGGCAATTTTTAAACAAAAAATAAGCTAGAACTTCATCAATGTTTTATGTTTGATGCATTTAATAAATGCCTTAAACTGTCAATGTCTGTGATTAATCTGTACTGACAGTACTTCTTGACATAATATTCTGTACTTCAAGTGTTATGCAGTAACATTTGTTCAGTTTATTATACATGATTATACATCAGTTTTGTCCTCCTTACAGAATAGTGACATTGTGTTCTAACCCAGCATCTCCGATGTTTGTATGTTCAGCAACTTCTGGACATCCAAGATCGTCCTCTTTCAGCTCTGATATAGGGCCAAGTCATGATTCCAGGGCTGGTAAACTTACTGTATGGGATCTTAAAACAATGAAAACTGATGTAAGTTATTGTTTAATCCCTTAACTCTCTTTCTGCCAGAGTTGTAGTTGTTCATTTGCAAAGTATTTAGTAGGGATGTGGCTGACTGGTTAACTTATATGACTAGTAATCTAAGGATTGCTGATTGCATGGGTTCAAACCCCTACAGAGGCAGTCTGTTGCTATCATGATCAAGAAACTTTACACTCAATGCTTAGTACTGGTTGTTGGCAGGAACGAATTCAAAAGTGTTTCAATAAGTTTATAGCTTACAACACAATCAAACTAAAAATAAATTAGTATAAACTATACTAGAGATAATTAAAGGAAATAAATCATGGATTCATATTTTCCACTTGATTTTTAAAGAATATGTAAAATCTATGGAAGAATAAAACAAGAAAATGAACAAAAATAATTATTATAAATTTTTAGCTCAACTAGTCAAAGAATACTTGAACTTATACATCTGGGCGTGTGCATGATACTGGGACACTTTGTTGTAACCATAGTAGGTATGAAACCCATTATTACTGGGTTCATAGGCAGACTTAAACCACTACTAACTAGACCATTGTTCCCCTTTTGGCGTATAATTATTGCAGCATGCATTATTATTATAGGTCTGTTATATTTATTTGTTATCAATAAATGTTATGATTTTTCAGAAAACACTTCCACTTGAACCGGGATCAGCATGTATAAACAGTTGTTCGTTCAACCATAATGGT